CACAAAATGCTTATCAATCACCAAAGCTTGCAAGTCATGTTTATGCAAGTATATGCTATGCAAGGTAATGAATGTAGTTGCAAACCTTGTCGCACCAGGACGGACAATTTCCTTCCAACCAGGTCTTTTCCTTAGCCATGACAAGAAAATTGTATGATTATATGCAAATATAGTAATTTTAGATGCCTTTGTTGCAAGTGTTGACACATGAGGCAATGAAGCAATATCTTTTAAAACAAGATTCAAAACAATGGGCTGCACAAGGTGACCAAAAAATAGTTTTATATTTCTCTTTAATCAATCTGCTACATGCTACATAGTTAGCAGCATTATCAGTTACCACATGGACTAGATTTTCAGGACCAACCCATTCAATAACTTCATAAAACAATGAGAATAAAGTTTTCGCATCTTTAACAACATCTGAAGCATCAATTGATTTCACAAATACCATACCATGTATGGAATAGACTAAGAAATTGATCAAAGTTCTTTGTCTGACATCAGTCCAACCATCAGCCATAAGTGTACAACCATTTTCTTTCCATTTTGCACGATGACTTTCAATTAGCAGTTGACATTCTTTTTTCCAATCTTTCAACAAGTTAATTCTAAAATCATAAGCATTAGGGGCCTTAAACCCAGGCCCAATTGCAGCAATAGCATCAACAGCTTTTGAAAAAGAGGACAATCAAATGCATTAAATGGAATGCAATTAACAATAGCCCACTGAGCAATAACCATCTTGGCATTATATTGTGCTTCTTTAGTTGCTAATACACTCTTCAGGCTTGGTTGGGAAAAGAGAAGTTGTTCTAGGAGCAAAGTAATTATCAACCCTCCCAGTCTCAAGAGCTTTCCTCTTGTTACCACTACTTCAACATTGACTTTTCTAAATTGAGGTGAAGCAATTGGTTCATCAATTTCCCTAATTTCAATGTCCTCTTATGCATGATTCACAGTTTTTTTCTTTGCCCCTCCTAGTAAAGATTCTTTCATTCTTGCACTTATATCATGAGGAACTTTCTTACAAGAAGAAAATTGACCAGAAACACCAGCTAGATGTGTTTCATTCTATTTATCCCACCTCCTCTGTAACTTGATGCACAAAAGAGACAAGTAAAAACATTTACTTTTCCCTCTTTCTTAAGAGAAACATATGCCCATGCAGGATCGGTTTTACCAGGCCCATGTGAGGGTGCAGTGGTAGTGGGATTATTCGTAGAACCAGATGCGGGGATAGGATTCTCATTTGCTTCAATATTTGTATCATCCATGATCAATAATCTCGGCACAAATAATCCAACAAAAACTACAGATTAATAAAATACTAAAACAGAGTCAGAGCAAAATCATAAAATAAAACACAAAACAAATAATAATACCAATCTATCTACAGCATTCAAAATCTATCAGTTAAAACTTAAAACCATATGAGAGAGAGAAAGAGGCTTTCTAAGTATAGTGGGGCAAATGTGGGATGGTTATAATAATAAAACTACATGAGACGTCCAAATTAGATTCATATGAATCCTGCGGCATTAATGAACTTAATGTGTCCAAGTCATAGTTTTAGTAACATTGTTAGCTGATTATTACATCAAGCGTGATTGGTTACCTATCACTAACATTAAGTTGAATGCTAATTTATAACAAAGCCATACTCTATCCAAGTGGCTTCCTTCAATTCTGTCTAATCAGTAATCACATAAACATGAGCCATTTTTCAATTACCTCTCCGGTAGCTTTCAGATTTAAAACAGAAAAAAATAACAACAGCAAAAAATAACGACAGCCAATTTTTCAATTACCTTCCTTCAATACTGTTTTCATTCGACTCAGAGACCGTAAAATGGGCAAACACAAAAATTCTCATGATCACAGAGACCGTAAAATCCATCAGTATATCAGCTAAACAATTTGCTTCGTAAAATCCATCAGTATAACAGAAGCATCGTAATCTCTTCAATTGATCAAATTATATCATCTAGATGAAAGCTATATACATTAATGCTATTACATTAATTAGTATGATTTCTCCCATTATGTTTATTTATCATCATAGCCCAAGAAAGAAAGAAAAAGAAAGAAAGGGAGCTCACGAGGTAATCATAATCGAAGCAACTGAACGGTAATCACAATCGCACTCTAAAGTCTAACAGAAAAAATCAAAACCACATTCACAATCTGAAAAGAAATCGCAAACCAGAACGGTGGCACTGGAGCTCTGAACGACGATCGCACTTTGTCTCTGTCAACTCGAACCCGTCATGAATGAGCCACGGCGAAGTTAGTTACCACCACTCTGAACTCTGAAAATGCAAGCAGAAGTGGCGAGCCGGTGACAGAAGAGGGAAGCTAGGGCAAGAAAATGGTTTTACGGGGAGAGAAGGAGAGAAAGAAATTTGCGAGGGAAAATCACAAAAATAGAGCAAGCGCGACGAAGCGACAGGGTAAGGGGAGTAGGGGGGCTCTGGCGTCATCGGTCAGAAATCAGAATCGACTTTTGAAAAAAAAAAATTCAACCCAAGGAAAAACGACGTTGTTTTGTGTCCAGGCCATTTTTTAAAAACAACCCGGTGCGACCCATCAACCCGTCGGGTTAACCGGGTTGTTCCCGGTTCACCTCGGTTCATTCCAGGTCGTACCGGTTCGCTGTGACCCTGGTTCACACGATGAACCGGACCGGTTCCTGGCTGGTTCGCCGGTTTTCGGTCCGACCGGCCGGTCCGGTCCGGTTTTCCATACCATGGTACTTGCTGGGTACGAGGGGTTTATGAGAGAGAACGGGTCAAAAGAAATGGGACCACACATTTATTTGACAGTGCCTCACACTTCACAGCACTGACATGTGTTCTTCTCGGCTTTCACGTGGTCACGTCCGTACATGTCTCTTTTTTACCGTCTCATAAAATAAATAAAAAGAATGTGTGAAAAAATATCTGTGATGAATAGATGTTGTCTTTTCTAAAATATCTTTACTAATCAAGTATATTAGTTAGAATTATCATTATTAGAATGACTTTTTTGAAAAAAAGTACATAAATATAAGAGAAAAAATGGATTAAGGTATATATTTAGGGTCAAAATAAAGTCAAATAAGATTTTATATTAAAAACCAGGGGTAATATATTTTACTTGAACTATTTTGGATTTCTCATATCCCACGTTTTTTTTTGGAACCATATCTTGCCTATCCGAACAAGTTTTTTTATGGCAATTATTTTTTATTTTATGTTAGAATATAATACTCCTCCAGTCCTAAATATATAAGATCTATTTTACAGTGTAAAAAAGTGTAAAAATAGATCTTATATTTAGAATTAGAGAAGTGTCATGCATTTATTACATGTAAGGAACAAAAAAAAACCAGACAAGGAATTAAACCAGTCGAGATAGTGGGTCAAGGATTACTGATCGGATTAGAATCAGACCGGCCATATTAAAATAAATAATTTAATTCACAATGTTAAAATAAAACAAAATTCATAAATAATAATCACTAAAAAAAATAAGCCACAAATGTAGTTTAAATAACTTACAAATATGAATATATAAAAAAGATAACACTCATCAAACAACAGCCCCAACTCATATATTATATATATCTATATATATGGTCCTGAATTTTCAAATAAAAAAAATATCATATTGATTATTAATCAATACTTTTTTCTGACCACAAGATTACCGATCAATATTCAATACTTGAAAGTTGAAACCGACAGTTTTGGAGCTTCTTCTGTTTCAAGCCAAGAGTGTTTATACTTTCCATATCTAGGATCAATTTAACCCAATCTCCAAAGAAAATAGAATCTATGTTATTTCAGCAAAAAAAAACTTTATCAACTACTTTCCTCTCCTACTTCAAATGTTCATAAATCAAACAGAAAATTTTCATCCCCTTCCTTCCCTAACCTTTCGACAACCAGAGACAACGTTGACAGAATCTATATTATTTCAGCAAAAGTTTCGAGCTTACCCACCGAAGGGACAACGTTGACTAGGATTTGAGGGAGACCTGCGACTTTGGTTTTGATTCTACCTTCTGCAAATGCGATTAGCGAAGGCCAAGCAAGACGTGGTAAGGTTGAGGGAGACTTGCGAGCTTAGAGCCTCAGACCTGGGATGCAAATGTGAGGTGTAGTCCTGCTACTTTCAGTCCTACCTTCTGCAAATCCAAGGTGAAGCAGAATGAGGCGGAGCAGAAGATGAAGGCGAAGCAGAATGAGACGAAGGCGAATGAGATTGCGATGTTGGGGAATGGCCGAACAGTGAGCTCTACCGTTAATGACGTCGGGAAGTACGGATTTTGAAGGAGGCTATTTGGGCTTGGGTTTGAGGGAGGGAGGATCCAGAGGAGAATCAGATTCAGGGGGATGCCAGGAGGGAAATGAAATCGAAATGATGGAGCTCGAACCGGAAAAGAGTAGAGGGGGTTTTTCCCTTTTTTTAAAAAAAAAAAAAAACGGCATCATTTTGTGGCTTATGGTAGGCCAAAAAATATAAACGAGCAACCCACCAAGCCGGGGTTCCCGGTTTAACCGGTTTTTACCGGTTCTCTAGCCCACTAGTTAACCATTAACATCGGACCGGACTGCAGACCGGTTCACCGGCCGGTCCGGTCCCCTTTTTTCCTTGGTTCTTTGTAAATAAGTTGGGTTGTAATATGTGTAATCGTTTTATTCTTTTAATAAAGTTTGATCTTTTATATAAAATAGAAAGTAAGAAAATTCATATTTTATATTTAGAGAATTTCTGTTTTTTTTGGAATTAAATGAGATGTTTATATATTTTCAATAAAATCTAACAAATTTTATTGGATTTTATCACGAATTTATGTGAATTTTAAAAATGAAAGGAAAGACTACATGAATTTAGGCGGCAATATGTACATTAATTTATTTAATTATTTGATTAGGTGTAAATAGGTCGAAAGAAAGGGATTAATTATTGAAGTTCAAGAGATCATAAAACCCTAGCGGCTCGCGACAAATCATTTGGCCCTTATATATATAACCCTCGGCGGGCTGAACCCTAGGGTTTCTTCTGTGAAAGGAAAAGGATCAGCATCAACTTAGCCCTTCACCATGGTGGCGGCCAAGAAAACCGTGAGATCTCCATTTCTTATCCCCTGTGACATTGAATGTTGTTAATTCAATGTGTACTGATCAGATTTCGTCTTTGCTTTTCTTTTTATCTAAATGGCTGGCTAATGGTTTCTTTGATTTGACTGCTTCAGAAGAAGACCCATGAGAGTATCAATAACAGGCTCGCTCTCGTGATGAAGAGCGGAAAATATACCCTGGGTTATAAAACGGTTCTGAAGTCCCTTAGGAGTTCTAAAGGTAATGGTTTATGCCCAGCGGTTCTTTCTGATTGCATTTTCCCTAGTTTAATGAGTTCTTTTGTGCTAAGTTGTTTTGTATAGCTGTTACAATTCTTTTCACTTGATACTCGCGGTCAGAGGGGGAACACGGATTACACTAAAACCAATTATAGATTGGAAATTCACATTTAAAATGTAGGCAGGGCGTATAAGTTACATCTATTCTTTGTGAAGGGGTATTACTTTACTGAGTAATTTACAAATGATGTAGAAATTGTTTCAATTATGGTTTACTTCCCTGCAGGGAAGTTGATTATTATTGCCAACAACTGCCCGCCTTTGAGGAAGTCAGAAATAGAATACTATGCTATGTGGCGAAGGTTGGAGGCGAAGGACATATGTGAGTGGTCTTATTCATTATCTTTATGAATAACAGGATTTGGTCTGTCTTTACTCCATCTGTTATTAGCATTTCATCTTTATGAATGCGGAATGGATTCTGCGGAATGTTTCTGGTCGGTAGGTGATGAATAGTTCTTCATGCGTTTGAGCTTGCCATCTGAATTAGTATTTACTGGGGGCGTTCATAGGTTTATCTTGTTATTTTTGAGGTCTTTCTTCATTGAAGCATCTGGCTGCATAAATATAGTTTGTAATTTTTCCTCTTGTATTAAGTCATAAAACAAGTGTTAAGAAGTTTGCGTGTTAGGCATGAAATAGAAAGAACCATTATGCTTCTGGAGGTCATACTTGAGCTTTCTCACTTGCACCTGCAAGGAACTTGTATGATAGCTTTAAAGTAATTGATTTGAGTCGAACCCGCTCATACATTGGTTTGTTTTGGTTCTGGATGTCAAGTGGTATTTTAAAATGAGAATAAAAAATTACATGATCCAATAATTGTTTACGTTGTTTTAGTAATATTATTTGGTAATGCACAGCTTATATTGGGTTCTGCTGAAATGAGGAACAGCTGCTCTGGATTTTTGTTTTGCCTGGTTCAGTAGTTGTTGATTTTGCTTTGCCCTTTATTTTGGAATCCCAAATCCTGTTGTACTCTTTCTAAACCAGGCAAACCATCTGGCACTTGATTGTTGAGTTTGAATTCGTTGCGGGGGCTCTGTAGTTGGTTTCATTTAGTTTTTAGTCTTGGTAAATTCCCTGCTCATGGAAGTTTTTAATGGTTGAAATTATATTGGGGTCGTCATTCACTGCTCAGTAAGCACTTTTCAGTGCTGATATGAATTTAAAACCACCTCCCTTTTTTTCCCGCAGGGGTAGGGGGTTTAGTTGACTCATTGGTAGTTTCATATGCTATAAACTTGTCACCAATGTGGCTTATGACACTGCTTATATTTTATGCTGATATTGGTGACTATGCATGTTAGTTTGCATGCTTGTTTATAGTTCCCTTGATGTCAAATGGTGTTTTATGAACATTTAACGGACGTGATTGAGTCACCTATTCCTGCCATTTCCTCCCACTCATCATTTGACAAAGGATTTCTCTCGTAACAGATAATGTTGACTTGGGCACTGCTTGCGGCAAGTATTTCAGAGTGTGCTGTCTAAGCATCGTCGACCCTGGTACCTATTGTTGTTAACTTTTAATTTAATGTTGTAAATTAACTGTTTTCCATTTCCTAATTGACTGTTATTGCTATTTTCAGGTGATTCTGATATCATTAAGACAATGCCTGGCGATCAGTAGAATAGTATTAAGCCCATTTTGTCCTCTCACAAAACTTATTGTTTTATTTTCTCAATTTTCCGTTGATTTGGACATTATTATAGAAATTCATGATGTGGTCTTGGACCATTTGAGGTGTACGTTTCCTTCGGTAGCAGGATTGTAGCACATTGAGCTTTGATGAAATGATAATGGAAGTTTATCTTACGAAATTTTCGTTGAAGCCAACGCAGTAATACTATTTATGGATGCTGCTTTTGCTACATCCTTGCAAATTTTCTTGGCTATTGGCCCTCTTATTGTCTTGGCAATCCCCCCAGAATAATTTTAGATGGGTGCAATTTACTACTAGTGCCGTAGTATTTTTTGTTGACGAAAGTAACCTGAAAAAATTAATGCTGCATATAACAATAGCGCGACGACTCGTTAGTTTATTATAGTCAGTCAGCGATTGCGGACGCACTGATTATTCTTAAACTCGCTGAGTTCATTTGGAATGAACATGTTAAATTGCTTGATTCATGCCCTGACACGTTATTACAGAGGAAGAGCGAAGGGAATGAGATGTTCTGAAATTTTGGATTTGTTTACTCTATATTTTATTATTTGATATTGTAAATTTGTTGAGAACAATAATTAATTAGCATAGAATGTGAAAAATGCAAATTTTTGTTTTGGTTATAATTTTGCCGTGGACGAATCATCACGGGACAAATCACATTATCCAAGATGCAATGGTTGGGCGTCATTGGACCCCGATCCAAATCAGTAACCGAAGTCCACACGTCACTCCTTTATTCTTTGTTGGATGATCTTATGCTCTCTGGAAAAGCTTCTACATCTCAGGTAGAGGTGATGTTAAACCGTATGCAAAGATTGTGAAGCATCTGGCCAGAATATGAATAAACTAAACAAAGATATGCTTCTCAAAGAATGTGCATTTTTCTAGGGCAATTGATCTTAGTCAACGGATGGGGTTGGGCTGATTGGGGATGGGGATTGGAAGAATACCTTCGTATTCCTTTGATTCATAAGAGGGCTTCTTATGTCACTTTTGCCCTTATCCTAGAAAACTCAAAAGCGGTTATCTGGTTGGAAGAAGATCTACCTTAGTATGGTAGTACGTGATATCCTTATAAAGATAGTTGCCTTAACCTTCCCTTCCTACCATACGCAAAATATTCTACTTCCTAAGCGTCTTTTGAGGGAGATTGAGAAAGAGTACGAATTTTTTGGGGAGACGAGGTTGATGATGAGAAGAAAGTCTATTTGATATCTTGGAACAAAGTTGTGCTGGATGTAGAGCTAATAATATGGGTTGAGCCCGTAATCCACCATAAGGTGGGTTGGGTTGAAAAAATAAAAACTATTTTGATATGATTTTTTTCAACTTGCACTCGTCAACGCACAGCCTATCACAGGGTTAGCCCACTAGCTTTTTTTTAAATTTTTTTTTACTATTTTTATTTTTATTTTAATAAGAAAATTTTTATCATTTTCACTTAATTTACATATAACTTTGTATTTTGTTAGAGACTTTAATTCTAAATTTGATTTATCATTTTCTTTATTGTTTTACTATTTTTATACTAGTAAAATAACTATTAACAATGAATTATATGTTTATATTTTAACTTTTGAGACTAATTTAATTATATAATTATATGAAAATATAAGAATAAGAAGATTTGGTTTATAAAAATTTATAATTTAATTTTAAAAACTTTGAATATATATGTAAAAAAAATTTTTTTTAAAAAAGATGGAGGTTGGCCCCGACAACCCACCCCTAGGTGGGACGGGCTGGCAAAATGTGAGCCCCTAGAAAGTGGTCCTTTTAGGACCAACTCGTATAGTCTCATGCTCGCAACGGGCTGGCCCATAACAGGCAGGCCAGCCCGTTTTACCACCTCCAGTTGGATCAAAAAGATGGTGGCTTGGGCTTAAAGGATTTGAGTAAACAAAATGAAACATTCAGCATAGAGTTATGCTGGAATCTCCTCCATAATCAAGAAGCTCTTTGGGTCAATGTCTTGAAAGCCAAATATAATTGTGGAGACATGGCGATGCCTATTGTAGAGGAAAAAAAAAAAACATAACTCTTTCTTTACTTGGAGAGGCAATTGTAATGTCTAGAAGAAATTTAGAGAGGGTTTGGGAGTGCAGATTGGAAATGGTTTCTCAACTTCTTTTTGGTTTGATAATTGGTGAGAAATCAACAAACCCTTACTTGAGCTCATCCCCAGATATGAACACTTGATTGATAAAGATGAATGGGTGATTAATTATGTTAATCCCTGGGGAGAGTAGGATCTTAACAAATTGAGCGTCTAGTTTGATCCTCACATTGTTGAGCATATCACATGCATACTCATGCCGTGAGGAGAGAGAAGAGGACAAATAGGATTGGAAATAGGCCAATGATTGCCAGTTTACTATTAAATGTGCATATCAATTTCTTTTTGCAGGTACCCAAGACGGTGGAGACATTTGAAGATTGCTATGGAAATAACGAATCCCGAAGAAAATCAAATCTTTCATGTTGTTTACACACGAAAGAGTGCACACAGCATAGTTGTGAGTGAGTAGAGGGATGGCAAAAGATGCTTCATATCCTATTGGCTGTGATAGTAGTGAAGACTCCATACATCTACTTCGAGACTGTTCGAATGCTAAAGACCAATGGAAATTTGTGGTTTCTCCTTTTCTCTGGAGTGCTTTCTTCTTGCTACAAGGGAAGGATCGGGTTAGATGGAATCTAACACATGATGCAGGATAGAATGATACTTTAAAGGGAAAATCACTAACAGGTCCCACAGAAGGCAATTTATTACTCTGAGGTCCCACGAAATGTCAAAATCACTGACAGGTCCCAAGGGACCTCAGAGTAATATTTTCGTTTTGTAAAATGACATTACTGCCCCTCATATTCCAGATTCACATTTGCTCTGTCATTACGATTTACAACCTCAGCAGCGACTATTAACAATCTAATGAGAGAGCGTTAACAACCCTAGCAGTATCCGTTAACAACTTACTTTATAGAATTATATAACCTCTATATAAGAGTAAATTATAACCAAATAATATAATACAACAACTTTAACACTAAAATGGGAAGCTTTTTGATATCATTAAGAATTTTAACTAGATCCAATAGGATTATAGTAATATTTTAATGCGAAGATCCATTTACAACCTCAACAGTGACTATTAACAACCGAATGAGAAGGCATTAACAACCTAAGCAGTATCAGTTAACAACTTACTTTATAGAATATAGGGTTAATTAATCCGTAAGTCCTTATAATTTCAACAAATTTTGAATCAGGTCCCTATAGTTTTTTTTCTTTTTATTAGGTCCTTATACTTTTGCCTTTTTTTAATTAGGTCCTTGTATTTATTTTTCTTTTAATTAAGTCCTTATAATTTCACTAAATTTTTAATCAGGTCCATGTAGTTTTAATTTTTATTTATTAATTAAATATAAGCTTAATTAAATAGATTAATACTGAAATATAAAATATTAATAATTAAATTAAATTAATAATTATGTAATAAAAAAGTAATAGAATTAATTAATTTAGGAAAATTTTTTAGAACAATTAATTTTTTTGCTGAAAAAATTAAAATCATTATAATAATTCAATATCTTTAGAATATTATTGTTTATAAACTAATATTAAATAATATATACTATTTTATGTTTATATAATAGTACTATTAGAATTTATAAAATAAAGAATAAAAAATTCAGAGACTTAATTAAAAATAAGGTGAACTTATAAGGACTTGATAAAAAGAAAAATAAATACAAGGACCTAATTAAAAATAGGTGAAGGTATAAGGACCTGATAAAAAGAAAAAAAACTATAAGGACCTGATTCAAAATTAGTTGAAACTATAAGGAGCTGTGGGTTAATTATCCCTAGAATATATAACCTCTGCATAAGAGTAAATTATAACCAAATAGTATAATACAACAACTTTAATACTAAAATGGGAAGCTTTTTGATATCATTAAGAATTTTAACTAAACCCAATAGGATTATAGCAACATTTTAATGCGAAGATCCATTTACAACCTCAATGGTAAGTATTAATAACCCAAAGAGAGCTGTTGACAATCTAGGCAGTATCTATTAACAATTGACTTTATAGGATAATAAAACCTCTAACAACTATATAAGATTAACTTTAAGACTATTTAGTTATAGTTAGAAGTTATATTATCCGATAAAGTTAGTTGTTAACAGACATTGCTAAGGTTGTTAACAATTCTCCTTAGGTTATTAATACTTACTGTTGAGGTTGTAAATGGATTTTCGCATTAAAATATTGCTATAATCCTATTGGGTTTGGTTAAAATTCTTAATGATATCAAAAAGCTTCCCATTTTAGTGTTAAAGTTGTTGTATTATACTATTTGATTATAATTTACTCTTACGCGGAGGTTATATAATTCTATAAAGTAAGTTGTTAACGGATACTGCTTAGGTTGTTAATGTCTTCTCATTCGGTTGTTAATAGTCGCTATTGAGGTTGTAAATGGATTTTCGCATTAAAATATTACTATAATCCTATTGGATTTAGTTAAAATTCTTAATGATATCAAAAAACTTCCCATTTTAGTGTTAAAGTTGTTGTATTATACTATTTGGTTATAATTTACTCTTATGCAGAGGTTATATAATTCTATAAAGTAAGTTGTTAACGGCTACTGCTTAGGTTGTTAATGCCCTCTCATTCGGTTGTTAATAATCACTGTTGAGATTGTAAATGGATATTCGCATTAAAATATTACTATAATCCTATTGGATCTAGTTAAAATTCTTAATGATATCAAAAAGCTTCCCATTTTAGTGTTAAAGTTGTTGTATTATATTATTTGGTTATAATTTACTCTTATGTAGAGGTTATATAATTCTATAAAGTAAGTTGTTAACGGATACTGCTAGGGTTGTTAACGCCCTCTCATTAGGTTGTTAATAGTTGCTGCTGAGGTTGTAAATCGTAATGACAGAGCAAATGTGAATCTGGAATATGAGGGGCAGTAATGTCATTTTACAAAACGAAAATATTACTCTGAAGTCCCTTGGGACCTGTCAGTGATTTTGACATTTCGTGGGACCTCAGAGTAATAAATTGCCTTCTGTGGGACCTGTTAGTGATTTTCCCTACTTTAAAAGTTAACTGGGATCTCTTTTTCAGATATATATATCT